AATTTTTCTAAACATGAGCCTATTGCAAAAGATTCAACATGAAATACAAGTAGTAACTTAATTATTATTTCCCCAAGATTGGACCTAAGTGGTCTAGACTACAGATATTTCCTTTTTAAACATTGCAACAAAGACAGAACTCCATTACATTTGAAAACATTGTCTCGAAACAAATCTCAGACTCTAGAACTACTGAGCTTTCGGTGCAAGAAATGAGAAAAATAAATCACTCAACAAAATGAAAGTACAGTCAAAAGTCGTTAATCCGGACTCGTCGGGACTTCGGCGATTCCAGATTATCGATTTTTCCGGATTATAGATCATCAGTTTAAATCTCGTAAGATGGCATGCAGAAATTCTAAAATTAAAAACATGAAACCATAATTTATGAAATAAAGAACAATTATGATCTAAAGGGTATCAAAATTTACAAAAAAAAAAAAAAAAAAGCTTAATATTTATTTGTTTACTTTATTAAACATTTCTTTCAATGTAAGTTATTTAAGTTGCTTCGTTTTATGTGATAATACTTTCTCTTTAATTCTATAAACAGACATAATTTCTTGTTCAGTTACAAAGTTCCGCTGTTCAAGTCCCGCAATTGCTGTACTGAGAATACCGACTAACTTGTCAGTCGAAATTTTTTCGTTTTCACTAACCTCTCTGTCACCTTCTTCATGTCTTTATCCATTTTTTGCAGCAATTCCACTTTTTGTTTGATGGACATAGAAACATACTTTCGTTTTGTAAATCCTTTGGGAGCTCCAGCATCGGAAATTCTATTTGCAGGGTTGCCACTCAAACAGGAGAATGAAATTCCCTGACTTTTCCAGGTTTTCCAGGTGTGTTTCAAGAAAATTCCAGTCTATCCGCGTAATGTATGTTGGCTGTGCTAAGAGGTAAATTAATTATGGTATTACTTGTATTGTGTAGCAAATTCACTTAATTATTCAATAAATCCCAGAGGACATTTATTCTTAATTATTCTTGGTATACTTCGTTTGATAATTTTGTTTAGTTTTCCACTTAAGAAACTTAATAAAATTTAAGATATATATACATTGGATAACAATTGTATGTTTTATTTAATTATTACTCATGATCATCGCCAGTTCAATACGAGGCTTAATCCGGTCCTTATAAATCACAATGTAATGCTAAATAGTTAGGTTAGATTTTAGTTAAATTTAATTTGCGTGAGGTATGTTCTTAAAAGGTACCTTAACACTTGAAAACACAAATATAAAATTATAATAGTTGTTGTTTTTCCACTGAAGATGAGATTAGAATCTTCCCAATCTGGAATAAAATAAGGCTTTTTTGCAGACATTCTGCAGCTAAACGAAAGAAAGAAATCTATTTAAATAAATTGAGGTATTTTATATTTATTTTGCAGCATACACAAGGAAAAATATGTGCATTAAATTTCGTGATGGTATGTCATCATACTGCTATAATTAACTTCAGGATTATGCCAGAGAAAATTTCCTGAAATTTGGAAATATTATTTACTAATAATAAATAAATTTAGAGGGAAGAAGCAACATTAAATTATATGAATAACATAAAAATAATTACTTAAAAATTGGAATTAGAATAATCATCTATATTTTAGCGAATATAGTTATATTACATGGCTAGCCTAGATGACTGATTACTATTTTTTATTTTTACTGCAAAATGGCAAGGTATTTATTATTAAAAAGAAAAAAAAAAAAAAAAGGTTTAAAAAGATTTGCGATAAAATTCTAGTATAGGGTAAGGCTTTGGGCACGATTTTGAAAATTGTCGCCAAGACCAAAATGACCCGTTTACTGCGCATCAAGATGTCGCCAAATCCCATTATTATTCTAACCAACAAAGAACGTCTATGTAAAGAAGAAAAGGTTCCATACAAGTAAAATGCTATTACGCCGCTAGAATGCGGAGGGAAAATTTGCCAAGGGATTTGGGGACGGAACCTGGCGGTCAGAATTATCCTCTCCGCGATGTGTACAGGAAATTGAGAAACACGTGTTAAGAAGAAACGCGCTTTGACAAAAAGAAAAGTACGAAAATCCGTTTTTAAATTATTGTGAAAAATCCAAGAAGAAACGTTTTATCAAAGGACGTTTCTTCTTGGATTTTTCGCAAAAATTTTAAAAACGGGTTTTCGTAGTTTTTTTTTTTTTTCTCTGAAAATAACTAATCCATGAATTAATTTACTTGCGCCAAAAAATATTTTCTTTTCCTTTACAGTTTAACCATTTGCGCTAAGACTAAACTTCACGGTTGCGGTGCCGTGCGCTACAATATAACATAACATAATATAACAAGCGGTAAAGTGTCTCATTTACGCCGCTCCGCATCTGCGAGTGCAATCCAGAGCTGTAACTCGAGAAATAAACAATCTCGTTGTTAGGCGACGTGTGCACCACGTTATTTTCATTTTTGCGATAAATGCTTATCGACGTGGTGTTCACGTCGCTCGCGGTTTGAGACAAAAGCATCTCGACGTGCGTGGCACGTCTTTTTAGCGCAAGTGGTTAAAGAAATTTTAAACGATATTCATTTTATGAACTCTTGATAACGTGACCTTCGAACTTCGACACCGGTTTCGAGCTTTGGTGACAGATATATCAGACATGCACAGCTGTTTCCCTCTATGAAGGAATGGAGCCACAGCCACGTCTGTTGCAGAGAGATTTTCCTTCTTTACAATACATATTCTTTGATTCTAACCTCCATAGTACCGTATACTAGGATTAAACCCATTTTGTTTTATACGAGAACAGGTACTTTCTTTAGTTCATGCACTGCACATGCGATTCTCGAGAATACTGGAAAGCAAAAGTTGCTTTGCCTTTCTAAAGACAATCAAATTGGAGCTGCGAAAATTGGCTCTATGCCAGCTACCCGAATGACACTCACGTGATACATAATTCGTCAAAAAAGTTACCTCTTCCGACGTCAGCGCAAAAATCGCTTTTTTTTGGCAGGATCGTTGTATGAACTTCCCTGACTTTTCCAGATTTTGACAAAAATACTTAAATTCCCTGACTTTTCCCTGAATATTTTGGTCAATTTTCGAATTCCCTGACTTTTCCCGGTTCTCCAGGTAGCGTGGCAACCCTGTATTTGACATAATTGAAAGTTCAAGTTTACTTTTATAACATTGCTCTTACAGTCTGCAAAAAATAATAAGCCGCATCCAATTCGAAGATTAAGGAATAACGCAATCATCAACATTAACTGAAATAGATAATTTTAACTAATACCGTCCGTTATACATTAAATGCGCACGCGAAAATGTATTCTGCACTTGCGCACACGCATCTGCGCAGTCGTCAAGGTCTTACACGCACGCGTAAACACCTATGCGCATGCGTCAACGCGGCCCATGCACAGAAAGTTTTTAGCTTTGAGGTCCGGATTATAGATCACTTCCGGATTATGGGTGTCCGAATTAACGACTTTTGACTGTAGTGATCAGATATTAGTTACTACATTTTTTTATAGAGATCATCAGGTATTTTAAAAAGTTATTGATTTAAACCACTGAACTTCCAACTGAAGCAAGATATGCTAATCTATTATAACCCTACTCCTAAAAAAAAAAAAAAAAAAAAAAAAAAAAAAAAAAGAAGAAAGAAAGAAGGCAAAATGTAATACAGTGCAAAGTCTGTAATCCGGACGTCCATAATCCGGAATGATCTATAATCCGGAAACATGAAGCTTCAAGTTTCATGTGCATAATGCGTTTACGCATGTACATTTAATGTATAACGGACGGTACAACCTAGGCTAAAATTATCTAAGACATTTCAATTAATGTTGCAGATTGCGCTGTTCCTTAATCTTCTAATTGGATCCTGCTTATTATTTTTTGCAGACTGTTAGAACAATTTTATAAAAATTAAGCTTGAACTTTCAATTATGTCAAAAAGAGTTTCCAATTCTGGAGCTGCCAAAGGATCTACAAAGTGAAAGCATGCTTTGATATCCATTAAACAAAAAGTGGAATTACTGCAAAAAATGGATAAAGATCTATCTGTCTCAAAATTATGTGAGAAGTATGGCATTGGAAAGTCCACTATATATGACACATGAAAAAAGGAACTTTTTGAATTTTTGCGGAAGCATCTTAAACAACTTACATTAAAAGAAATGATTAATAAAGTAAACAAATAAATATTAAGCTTTTTTTTGTAAATTTTGATACCCTTTAGATCATAATTGTTCTTTATTTCATAAATTACGATTTCATATTTTTAATTGTATCATTTCTGCATGCCATCTTACCAGATTTAAATTGATGATCTATAATCCGGAAAAACCACTAATCTGGAATCGCCGAAGTCCCGACGAGTCCGGATTACGAACTTTGTACTGTAGCTTTTACAACATTAGCCAAACTCAGTTTTACTCAACCCAGAAAATTATAATATCATCAACAACACATTTGTAAACTCTGGAATTACATACATCTCTACACTACACATTAAGATAAAGTTTGTGTATTTAAAAACTTTTCTAAAGCAATGGTTACAGCCAGATTAGAATTCACATTCACATCCTAAAAGACAAATATTTTTAACATAAGTAATAATAAAATCAAAAATGGTGTTTCAATGTCTGCAAATTATGAAATTATTTCTGACCCGAAACTGAAGCTGCAGCTACATTCAGCTAAAACTGCAACATGATAATCTTTCAAGAATGTTTCTATAATTTTTCAGGCAAAATATAAGGCACAAAATCATTAAGAAATAGATCATACTTTTAGAACGAAGGAGCAATCTGTGGAACTAGAGTTCTAAATACTGAGACTTAGGATAATTAAAGTTTCACCATAAAGTTCTAAATTACTCAGCTACACTACCTAAGTTATATAACCATATTTGAACTTTAAAGCTAGGAAATAAAAATTCTAAATTCTATGAGCATTACATGTTAATCATCAAATAAAATAAATATTACAAAAATTTAATATGGTCTTATCAAATATTTCCTCATCTTACCCTATGCCCCATCCAGTTTAGGATATGATTTTCTAGTGAAGTAAAATTTCCATCTTCTGATGGCCCTTCACTGTGACATTTTGAAGGTAAGGATGAGATGACAACACAGTTCCTGAAGCTATTAGCTCGGATTATTACCATCAGTGTCCTTAAAGTTTCAGCCAGTATGGGAGACATGATGATGAAAACAGCTTTCTTTATTTTGGAATCTGCTCTCTAGAGTGAAAAGGGGGAAAAATTAATGAACACAGCAAAGCCACAATTTATTACAACAATTTTTCACCATAATTTTGCTCACAATTTAATTTTTATTTTTGACTCTGCATTAAATTTTTATGAACTACTTTGTTTTATCATCAAAGGACAACAAGTATCTGCTACTTACAGTAAGACAAAAATATGCATGATCAAGCTTCAAGAAGCACTTTGCATGGAAACTGATTTGCCATTTACAGCTCAATTTTTCAAAATTAATTTCATAAAGAATTTTTCATATTCTTAAATTAGTACCACTAATAAAAATTGCTAAATGTTTACAGCCTGCCTGGCATTAATATGATTTTGCTTTTTTGACTGAGAGCATATCCATTCTGAACTGATAAATAAATACAGTGAACTATTCATTCATCAGAGTAACGTCAGAGATGATGTCCATGATTTAATCAAAAACATGATTAATCGCTGACTGCCACACTGAAGGGCCCAGGTTCAAATCCCGAAAAAAGCATGGATGTTTGTAAATGTATAGCATCTGTGCGGAATGGGGGCACTTAAAATACGCTGCGAGCCGAAAGTCCTCTTGAGAGGCTAGTGGTAGGGTTTGGTTTAGTTTGGTTTGAGATTACGGCAAAGCGCTATAGAGCTATCTGCCTAAGGGGAGGGATGCCTTCGTGGAGGACTTTCTAAGGGAAACTGGCTCATATACACGTTACACATGGGGAAAACCACGAAAACGTCCATGCAGCCAGCCCGTTCGCGGGATTCGAACCTCGGACCGAACTACCAGTGTTTAGCAACTTTACCGCTCAGCTGCTGATGGTAGGGAAAAGAGAAGAGGGCGACCCTTCAATTCATTCCCATTTTTTCCAAAATACAAGGAGAAAAAACAGCAATAACAGTTTAAATATAACTTTATTCATAACAACAAAATGTGGCCTACCAAGAATCAACTGGGGCTACATCAAAAGGGCATATATTAATAGTATGTTGTTACAGTAAACTTGTTCATAATTGGCACTAAATTGTGATGCTGGATGACAGTTTTCAAAGTCAACAAGATAATACGTAAGTGCCGAATCTAGAGTACATCTCTCAGAAATAAACATAAAATTAAGATTTTTAAGTTTGACATAACATTGAGATTATTTAAATTCTTTCAACTGCTTTGCTTTGAAAAGGATGTCTGATATCATAAAATGCTACAGAAAAGAAATTTTCGCTTTGATTTCACCTGTTAGTTCATTTTTTTTTATCTTCAATATTAGGTCTTTTAAAAATTGTTGTTTTATTCTAAAAGGAAATCAATCATGAAAACCTTTTTAAAGCAGTAATAAGGAAAATAATTTTTTATCAATACCTGATTTTTACAGCTTTTTAAAGTTATCTATTACAGAAAAATTTCCAGTTCATTATTTAAGTAACTCTATTCAGTATCTGTACGCAAGAATATATCATATTATATATTATTAACATTGTTGCCCTTCTCATTATCAGTTGCCTTACTTTATGTCTGACTTTTCTTCACATTCCCTTTTGGCCATTAAAAATTTGCCTGCTCTCCACATTTTGTTTGTTAATCTTCAGTTTAAATAAATATATTCACTTATGCTTAATTTTTGTTTCGCAATATAATATCAACACAAAGGACTCAAATAAATTTACAAATTCCATTCTTTTTTCTGGTATTAACATACACTTACAAAATAAAAAGTGCAATGAAGATAAAATGCTGGTTCATCCAATAACATGTTTATGAACATTACTGAAGTTATACTCTTGCTTTAATATAAAAAATTATTTTGGTAAAAACATTAAAATTGTGATAAATAATTATTTATTCAATAAATCCCATGCTGTCATTGTGTTTTAAACAATTTAATGACAAATACCATTTAACAATGATAAATAAATTTGAGCAAAGTAATTATATAAAAGTATAATAAGTTTGAGCAAAATAAAAACATAAGTATTTTTTCAAAAATTTTTACATTCAACCTTTTTTGTGTTGTATCCTTAAACACAATTTTCATGTATCCATTTCCTTTCAAAAGCCTCACTCATAGTTGAGAAGTTAAAAGACTGTTGAATACTGGGAATCTGATCTGGATTCGATTACAGGCAAATGGGCTGACTGCATAGTTGGTTTTTCCCATGTGTAAGTAAACTAAAATTGTAATTCTTAGTTTTTACTTTACTGGAATATATGATAGCAGTATACCCATTTCATTTATTTGATTATGCTTAACTAAATCACTGCAACCTAAACGAAGGATTCTTAAATAGTCCTATAGGTAATATAGTAAGCATACAAGGGTTATCTGCCTAAGGTGAGGGATGTCATGTAGAAGACGACTTTCTAAGGGAAATTGGCTTGTGAAAAAAGGCCCATTCATTGTTATTACAAAGCAGGATATATTAAGCAAGTTTATCATAGCTTTTTATGAATTATTCTGGCTTAATTTATTATTTTAAATTTGAAAATTTTATTTAACTGAATACTTTTGTAGTATTTCTGTAATATAGGGTATTCTCTTTTTGTTTACATGTTTTATTTGCACATTTTAGACTTGTTTTGATCCCATTATTGATTTGATAGTTGCATATTGTTCTAACAGTTTTTTACATTTTTAAATGATTTTTTTTTTCATTTTATAAGAATGTTTCAAATAATTTTTTAATTGATTTATATCATGTAGGGAAATTCTTGACACACATACGAGTTAGCTAAATTTAGAGAATTGAAAATTTAAGTATAGAAATTTTTAATAGCATATGCGTGGCAAGGCGAAAACACGATGCCTGAACAGTTGGGAAGAGTGTGAAATAAGTTAATTCCCCCTGAAGAGTCGGTATTATTTTGCTATCTTTTCAACTGTTCATTTTTCAGTAATTTTTCTATGATATTGCTATAATTTTTATTTGCATTTATATTTTTGCATCTCAATTTAATTTGCTTTTTCACAATTATTAGCTTATATTTGTAAGGCAATTTCTTCCGTCACTTTTTCTTTTACATTTTTCTCTTACAATTTTCAAAATTCTTTTCAAACATAAATTTTTATTTTACCTTTTCGTTTTTACAAAATTAATTTTTACATTCTTCATTTTCCAGATGCAAATGTGTAGATTGGAATTTATGTAGTCTTCAAGTTGTAATTCTTAGTTTCTACTTTATTGGTATTCTTAATTTTTACTTTATTGAAATATTTGATAGAAGTATTGCCATTTCTTTCATTTGATTATATTGTTACGAAATGCCCAGTGGCGGTAAGATAACTTCCCTGCAAAGCGGGTTTAGTGTTTCCAGAAAATGGCAAGGAAAGGCAGGGTTGCCATGTTTGGCAACAAAATTGGCGATATGCCATAGAAGAATGGAGAACGTAACAACTGGTGTCAGAAGTGGGAACTGAGGGTGAATGTCAGTGACAAGAGGAAAGAAAGAACAATTAAGACAGCTCGAGACTGCCTTTGCTGTATTCCAAGAAAAAATGGAATGTGCCGTCAACCAAGTTGAGATGAAAGCAGGATATGAAGAACTTAAAGCCAGATATGAACAGATGAAGGTTGGACAAGAAGAGTTACTGATCGAAATTAAATCATGTCGAGAAAAATAAAAGCCAACCAAGAAAAGCTGCAAGAGCAACTCCAACAGGTGAAAGTGGAGCTTACAAAAGAAACTGGATCCATAACAGAAGATGTGGAAATGCCAGAAGTGGCATCTGAAGAATCAAAGGATGAAGAAATGAAGGAAGTTGCTGGTGAAATGTTTGAGAAAGATCAAGAAATGATGGAGGTAACATCTAACGGGATTAAAGAAAAAGAACAAAAACATGAAGAAATAAAAGACTGGAATGAAGCTTTTGATTCTCAGGTGCCTGAAATAGAAGTGGAAGAAAGTGAACATGTGACTGTTAAGTTCGTAGAAACTGATAGTGAAGTTACAAAGTTGCAGTTAGAAAGTATTCAACCATCTGAAAATTCATCTGATGCAGAGATGGGACAAGCTGATGTACAGCTTAAGCAGAGTGTTTCAGTATTACAAGAAAATACATCCAGTTCACAAACTGTGCATCTCATAGTGCAGACATGGACTTGATTCTAAACCAGGATACTTCTGCTTGTAAAGAACTGGCTTCTGTACATAACTCACATTGAAACTGGTTTTCAGGAAATAGAGGAAAACAAGTATGTACCAAATGCTAAAAATACCAAGGTGAACAGTACGCATGATACGAATGAACTATAGAGTGGTGAATAAGCTGTTTCTGATCTTCCTGTGGATGAAAAGTCTGAAAGGACTGAATCTTCAGACAGCAATATGCAAATACATCTGAGAACTGCAGTGAAAGAGTATTTGACCCGGATATAACTTAATGAAAAGCCTGAGACTGCTAAACTTCAATTTGGATAGTTTAAAATTATCATGTGGTTAATTTGTGTATGTAACTTGTACAGAGTGTAAATATTTGTTTCTTTAATTATGTTATTTGTTTGCTTGAATATGTTTTGGTTGTATAAAATTTGTCTTCTGACCCATGATTGTACTGCCCAGGACGTGCAGTTCTTGGGAGGGGGCAGTGTTACGAAATGACCAGCGGTGGTAAGATAGCTTCCTCTCAAAGTGGGTTTACAGTTGCCAGAAAATGGCAAAGGAAGACAGGGTGACCATATTTGGCAACAAAATTGGCAATATGCCATAGACGAATGGAGAAACTTCTAGAACGAATTCTTACCGGTTTGGCCCAGAATGTTCTTGAATGCAAGCCAAAATCTATATAAATCCTGCTGATATGTGGAGTGTGAGTCAGTTAAGAGTTAGTCAGTCAGTGCCTAGTCCATCGAGTTGATCATCAGTCTAGTCTTGAGTTGGTCGTTGGCTGTATCAAGAGTGTGCATCAGCGAGCTGTAGCCTGGAGAGTCTCAAGAGTTTGCAGAGTTCCGAGAATGAGTGTATTAAGTTGGGAGCTGTACTCTAGTGCTTTGCCATGAAGCTGTCT